AAAATAACCAACCATTTTTTGGATGGATTTGAGGCTCATTCCACAGGAGGGAACTCTTGCCTGTTAGTGTAAACCTGGTCAAAAATCTCATGGCTGGAGAGGTCATTGTCCCTAGGTGGAAACCAACCTACTACAGTTGTTTTGCTAAATGGACAAGGGAACATTGAAAAGAGGGTAGAAATAAAGGTAAGCTAGAGGATGGAGCATGTTTGCTATAAAACACTGTCTTCCAGACATCAGTGTGATTATCCTCACGAGGTTAAACAAATCTACACTCCTTTGTGGACAGGGGAGAGGTTCACAAAGGCTCACTTCCTGAGGAACTGTAGGCAGTCAAGGGTTGCTGCGGTAGGCAGAGTCATTCCTCAGTGGCATTAAGCGATTTTTGCTCAAGAAAATAACTCTCTGCCCACATTTGTGTAAGCAGCCATAATTAAATTCAAGGGGTCATAAAAATAGACATAAAAGTAGAAGAGGACATATTGGAAGATAGTTTTGTGGGAAGAGGATAATGGGGAATATGTTCAAAGTGCATATCACATGTTTGACACACACACACCAATTTGAAAGAATAAGTATATGATTTAAAAACAAGAAGACACAAATCCAGACTGAGGAGTGGGGCATATAAGGCTTTTAAAGCATCAATGATCAGGGAAGATGGGTGAAATCTACATCTGCCTCTTGTCCAGGAACAGGTGAACAGCTTTGATATCTCTGGCAAGCACCTAAGATGGGGCAATTGCACCTCCAAAGGAGAAAATACAACGGGAGAGCAGCCTGACACTGCAGACTCTCAATGGACATAGCAAACCTCAGAGGACCTCTAAGCACTGACCAGGAAGTAAGTCTATGCAAAGCCTACTATTTGTTAAAGTCCCAACACAGAGTTGTATGGAGAAGAGGAGCCAGGCTTAGGTCCCCCCCAACCCAGATAAGGGCTAATAGCTCTGGAGGAAAAAGACAGAGGACAGTCCAGCGGACTCCATATTCCTGGTGTTCTGAAGGCTCACTGTGGGCAGATGGTGAGTGGCCCTAAGAAGCAACAACAAAAGGGACTTAAAGTCAATATAGGGGACTTTTTATAAGAGCACAGCAGAGCTCAAGGCTGCATGATTCTGAGGCAATCGGGAATATGTGTTATGGGAGTCTAGAAGAAGGAAGATAGACAACTTCAGGGCTGGCTGGTGCTCACATGCTCCAGGATGGGTATGGGGGTCAGAGGACGTGTGTGGGCAATGGTTCTTGCACCTTTTGAGCAAGGTCTGTCTTGTTTCTGCTGCTGTACAGCATACTCGAGGCTGGCTGGTCCTGCAAGCTTCCAGACATTTCTCCAGTCTCTGCCTCACATTGTCTTAGGAGTGCTGTGATTACATATGCATGCCACCACACCTCAGGAGTACCATGACAAGTACTTCTACACACACCTCAGGAGTACCATGACAAGTACTTCTGCCTGCTAAGTCATCTCCCTGGCCCCACACTTGTGTTTCTAACCTTATGAATGAGTCAAACAGCAGTGACAAAGCTGCAAGCTATTTTCTTTACTGTGCTTGGTAAGAATTTTCAATGCACCATCACAAAACTTGGAGATGTCACTGTTAACCTGTCCAACAGATGGATAAACAGGCTTGAATGATCAGTGGTCCTCAAAGGATAGAAAGTATGCCCAGGGGCTTTTGGTTACTCTGAACTTCTCATGGTCACTGGAAACTGAATGAACTCCAGACAACTGAAAATTGCAGAAGGCCCTGGAGAGGAAAGGAGGGGGGTGTAAACAGGGGTTCCTTTTATCTCCTCTGGATAAACAAGAAGGTGACATTTGAAGATATCAACCTTCGTCTCCCAAGGCATATGAAAAGACAGAGCTAAAATTTACATGACCATCTCTCTGAGTTCTCTGTATATGCCCCCCCATTTGATCTTTCTGAACCCCTACTGAAATCTTACTGGCCTCTGCCTTGAAGGCAGTGTGGCCTCTTAACCCAGGCTAAGGGCTGCCTGGCACCAACCCCAGCTGGGTGTCATTTTCTTCAGTAGTGTAGGTGCTGGTGAGTTGCTCCTGCCCTTTCCATGCTCATACAAGAAGCCATAATTAAACTGAGGTTAAAACCAAGCCCTACCCCTTGACCAAAAAAAAAGGCAAAGAAGTGGACTTATAGGGAAGAAGATAGTCAAGTGCAGGAGGCATGGGGAGGGCAAGGGTTGAGGATAATCACAACATGGTGTATGTGTGTATAAACTGTCAAAAAGGATGTAAGGATGTAAAGAGTGTATGTATGTGTATATACATATACACATGGGACTTTGGGGAAGTAATTCCTTATCTCAAAGGTTTATTTTGAAAATGAAGGACAATTTATTCAATGTACATTTACCAAGTCCTGGTACCTGGAGCTGCTTTGGGGCTTGGAGAAACAAGAATCAATAAACATGCACCCTCAAGAGCATGTGTGTAAAAAAATGAAAAGGAAAGCATGCATGGTGAGATATACATGGCCAGAGAGAAGAAATATGGCAGAGAAGATGGAGTCTGTGATGTTAGATCAGGTAGCCAAAAAGGACTCATGAAGATGATGTCCTAAGGGGCTGGAGAAATTGCTCAGTAGTTAAGAGCATGTATTGCTCTCTTCCTGAGGACCTGAGTTCAGTTCCCAGAATCCATATCAGGCTCCTCACATCTACCTGTAACTCCAGCTCCAGAGATCTGACCCTCCCTTCTGGGCTTCATGGGAACCTGCACACAGACACACCACGCTCACATAAATAAGAACCACAAAGAAAATATTTAAGAAGATGCTTTGGCTGAAAAACAAAAACATGATGTGCTTTATATGGCTGTAATAAATGTCATGACCAAAAGAAACTGGGAGGGAGGAGAAGGTTCATTTCCTCTAACAGCTTACAGCCAATCACTGAGGGACATCAGGGCAGGAACTCACAGAAAGAACCTGGAGGCAGGAGCTGAAGCAGAGGCCACAGAAAACCACTGCTCATTTGGCTCAGTCCCGTGGCCTGATTAGGAAATTGTGTGTATGTGTGTTTATATGTTATATATTTATCTATATGTTTACACATAGTACATGTTTGTATATGTAATATGTTATAAATAATATATACAACCCAGGACCCCTACATTGTGGTAGTACCACTTATGGTGGGTTGGACCCTCCCAAATCAATCATTAATCAAGAAAATGCTGTACAGTCTTGCTTATGTGACAGTCTGATGAATGTATTTTATTTTCAACGAAGGTCCCCTCTTCCTCGACTAATCTAGCTTCTGTCAAGTTGACAAAAAACTAACCAGGACAGACAACTTTTAGAAAGGGTGTGATGCTAGCAGGTGAACTGGTCATCTGAGTGTTAGGGAGTGTGTATGGCATGAAGACAGAGTAACAAAGAGGCCTACTGACTGGACTGGAGAAACAGGAGGGAGAGTCCTGAGAAGTCTTGGAGACTCCTGAGAAGGAGAAAATGACCTGACATTTTACTCAGAAGACTCCAAGGTCCGACTGAGTTAAGTCAGGCTCCTTCTGAGAATGTCAAAGGTCAAGGGCAGAGGCAAGCACAAAGGGGGAAAGCACAAAAATGCTCCTATGGACAGTGTGCTGGCCAGTTTTATGTCAACTTGACACAAGCTAGAGATCACTGAAAGGAAGGAACCTCAACTGAGAAAATGCTTCCATAAGATCCAGCTGTAAGATATTTTCTTAATTAGTGATTGATCAGGAAGGGTCCAGCCCATTTCGGGTAGGGCCATTCCTGGGCTGATGGGGTCTATAATAAAGCAGGCTAAGCAAGCCATGAGAAGTAAGACAGTAAGTAGCACCCCTCCATGACCTCTACATTAGCTCTTGCCTCCACGTTCCTGCCATGTTTGAGTTCTTATAAGCAGAAGCTTCTTGTTCCAACCTCCTGTTCCCAAAAAACTGGCATCTGCTTCCCAAATTACCACATAGAGGCTTACTATAAGTTATAAAAGCTCAGCCAATAGCTCAGTCTTATTACTAGCTAGCTCTTATATTTTATGTAACCCATATTCTTTATTAATGCTCTGCCACATGACAGTATCTTTTTTAGCATGGCACATTCATCTCTTGCTCTCTTTCTGCATCTGGCTTGCAACTCCTGACCTTGACATTCTCCTTCCCATCATCCTCAGTTTGGTCACCCCACCTTTACTTCCTGCCTGGCTACTGTCCAATCAGTGTTTTATTAAATTAATTCAAGTTACAAATCTTTACATTGTACAAAAAGATTATTCTACAGCAAATTCCTGTCCTGCTTTCTTCAATGACAGATTACAATGTGGAAGTATAAGTCAAATAAAATCTTTTTCTCCCCAACTTGCATTTAGTCATGGTGTTTCATCACAGTGAAGCTAACCCTAAAACAGATAGAAAATGATGGTTTGGAACACTGAAGAGAGTGAAACAGATGGCAGTCACAGCTGGAATATAGTACTAATAAATATACCAGATCAAGGTATAAAGGCTTGGAAGCCTGCGATTTCATACAAGGAGAGTGGGAACAAAAGGGTGACCATCTTCTGGTAAAGGCCACAGATGCAGTGGATGCTTTAGAGATATAATACCTGTTACTTCTGAATCTACTCTTTAAAACATGTTAGATATCCAAGTAGAGACATCAAACAGATGAATACCCAGCAAAGAGATCCAGCCAAGAGACACACTTGTGGGGTCATCAGCAAGAGCCCTAGATCCAAGCTGTGACACTAAATGATTAGGTGTTACAGATGGAACAGGAAAAGAGACCCTTGGTGGAAGCCAAACAAATGATAAGATTAAAGGCAGTCAGACAGTGTATAGAGCCTCTGAAACTCCATTCTCTTCCCTGGTGGGAGAAAAAGCTTGCTGTCAATTATTTTGATCTCTTGAATTAACCAGCAGGTCCAGGTGATCCCTCTCCATAGACTCAAAGACTGCTGCATATAAACTTGACTAGGAGGAGTAGCATTGCTCCAGAGTTATGTACCATTAATGATTAGCTGAATCCTCAGAAGCTACTTGGATTTGATCTGGAAACCATCTGCTTCAGTACTGTTCTCTCCTCCAGGGCTGCAGGAGCTCTGGAATTACTTCCCAAGAGGGAAGTAGACCAAGCTACCTCCAGAGAGAGTTCCAGAAGAGGCTTGGCAGGTGAGTGTTCATGGAAGAGACAGAAATGGGGGCATGCATCATGATGCCAGCCATGAGGAGTAACAGCTAGCAAGGAGATAAAAACTCACAATGGAAGATATCTTAAAGCTCCTAGGGGCCACAAAGGGAATGTCAAAGTGTCTTAATGGGGGAGCTTCAGCCAACCAAAAGTAGAGGACTGGAGAGCTGGGCAGCAGTATAGACAGAAGCTGAGAGATAGCTGGGGGTGAAGGAGTATATGCTTTTCTAAAGAGGTGAGGTCAGAAGATAAGAAGTTGGCCACCCAAAGGGAAACAGCAGCAACAGGAAAGCACTGGGTATTGCTGGCCAGGCCTGGGAATGAAATTCCTACCTCTTCTTTGAGAAATCAGGAGAGAACATGTAAGTGCCACAGATGAGAATCCTAATGGCCTTTGCCTAGACCAAAGGAGCTGGGAATCCAGCCAAGGGGACAGATTGCTGGCTGGATTATCTAAATCAAAGGTCATTAGGCTTAAAATTCTGCAGTCTCATCCAAGAGCACATGACAAAATAAAACACCAGTGTATATAACCTTGGAACATTTTTCCCTGGAGATAATAAAGCTGAAAATAATAATCACAACAGCTATAATTTTGTAACTTGCTATTTATGTTAGATACTGCCCTGTACATGCATAGTTTTTCAAATATGTATTAGTCAACAGTAGGTGTGTTGACAAGCATCACAGGCATTTCATAGCTTTCAAATATATATGTTTCCTTCTAAATATAGGTCTAGGATATACCTACAAAGCTTATTTGAAAAATAACTGAAGGTTGGAAGTGGCCAGATTGGGCTTAGCTGAGTTCCTTGTGTCATGTTCTTAGGACCCCAGAAGAATATTTTTGCTCATATGAGACATGAAGTTATCCTAGAAAATCACAGAAATGGCACTAGGGAGGTAGCACAATGGGTAAAAGCACTTACCACAATAGCATGAGACCCTGAGTTCAGAAGTTCAGTGTGCATGTAAAAAGCTGTGTGTATGTCTGTGGGAGCCAGGAGCTAGGGGAGCAGAGACAAAAGGATCACTCGGGCTCTCTGGCCACCGGCAAGCCTATCTGAGAAATGGCAGGTTCTAGATCCAATTAGATACTCTGTCACAGAGAAATGAGATATGGAGAAGGTCGCTCAGTGTCTTCCTCCTGCCTGTACATACATGCATACATGTATGTGTACACACACACACACACACACACACACACACACACACGGTGAGGGTGGAAATGAAAATATGACCAACCCATACTCATCCTATTAATCAGAACATATCTCACTAGCAAGCCAAAGTAAACAAGAGGAGAATGTGGATTCTTCCCCTATATTGAACCAAGAAGTCACATGGCAATGAGTGGGGTGATATAATCCTTCTACAGGAAGAAAACAGATTAATGGAAACCACAAAACAGTTCCCTCATACTTTAAGCTAAAGTATGAGTCATTGGAGATCCACAGAACTGCTGCAGGAACTAAAGGGGGCTGCTTTAGGAGAATGGCACACAGAAGGAGACTGAACCAGGTACTCGATTCAATACACTTAAAAACCCAACCAATCAGTCCTGGTTGGGTGGAAACAACTCTCTCCACTAGCAGGTGCTGAGTATCACAATCTAGTAGGAAAGAGCTCACCTACATCTCCTTCCTTCACAGAGCTGACCATGCATTGGCTGGGGAAAATTCCAAGACACTGTACCCTCTGGGGTACTGAGATGTTCAACCGTACATTCCATATTAATATCAAGAAACCATTGCCCATACAGTGGGGCCGCCAGGAAATACCTGCCAAGTTCAACTTCGCTAATGATGTGATAGATCACTGGGCCAACATGGAAAAGGTAATGGGAGAATGGCACAGTTTGGTTGACTTCATCCATTTACCACTTCATTCCGTAGATATTTATGGGATGCAAATTATGTCTCAGACACCATAAGGAGCTGGGGGGGGGCAGGGATATCATCTTTCTTCAGTCAGCACAGAGTGACTTGGGAAAAAGAAAGGCAGAGAGCTCTGAGGTTCTGTCGGAGAAGCATCATATGCAGTTGTCAGTGACAACTGTGATAAACTGTAACCAGAGACTCACAGCTGGTCAGTGTCCCGAGAACTGGATATTATTGAATGTTCCATATATAGGGCATTTCTATAACCCCTCAGAAGTTCACAAAGTATTATGAAAAAAAGTTCAGAAAGTATTATGGAAAAAGAATGAATGTAAGAGGTAGGGGTATGGAGTGTAATATCTGGGCATGAGATGGCCTTTGTACTCTTGAACTTACAGCAACTCAATTACCTGTACTAGATTTCATGGAGTATGGAGGTGCTCATTGGGCCCCATCTCTCCCAGAGGATGTATATGCAGTTGAAGGTTGATGAGGGACCAAGAGGCTTTTTGTTCAGTAGTGTAGCCACTAGTAATGTATCCATGCTTCTATAAACAAAACTTCTCCTATGCTCCTAGAAGTAACCCTAATAAAACTTACTAGGACACACACACACACACACACACACACACACACACACACACACCATAAAAGTAGAAGAGGAACCAGTTGCCAGGAAGAAGACTAACAAGAGAAATGGGAAAGGGTGGGAGGGGGACATACAAGGATGATAGGAAGGCAAATATGAAGTGCATTGTGCACATGTACCAAAATGTTGTAACAAAACTTATAATTATGTATAATTAATACATGCTATCACAAATATTTTTATAAAGAAGGTCAGAGGCACATGGGACATGGTGAAGAACCTAGTAACCCCAAACCCACTCTCTATTGTGACTTCCCAGCATGGAATAAAGAGCAGTGAGCTGGGGCATAGTGGGATAGGTGAACTTGTTACAGGACTAAGCATGTAGTACTCCAATAGGCTCAATTTAAACACATGATCCTCAGCTGGTGGCAATGGTTTGGGAGGTGATGGAGGCTTCAAATGGTGGGAGTAGAGGAAATAGGTCATTGGGAATGTAACCCAAGGGCTTCGCCTAGTCTGTGATCTCTGCTTCTCTCTTAGCTTCCTGTCACAAAGTGGTAGTCTCTGTCACTCACTCATACTGTCATGATGCTCTACCTTACCACATGCTTACAATAAATGGATTCAAGGAATACTGATCAAAGCCTCTGAACACAGGAGCTAAGGGAAATATTAAGGTGTTTATCATGGTGATGGTCCATCTGATTAACACAGATCATAGAAGGCAATCAACAAATACTCAAGATTGAGCCAGTCTTCTCAGAAAGCTAGGTCACATGTCTCTGCTACTGAAGTGTGCAGGTAAGATGCCCATGCAGCAGAGTATAAAAGGGCTTCCTTGTCTATTTTGAGTTTCTTTTGCTACTGGCCCACCACTGCCTTCACCTGAAATACATTTCTAGAGGTTGGACTGGATCATTGGGGCTAAGGCAGGAGAAAGGCTAGACTTAACCAGCAGGGGCACCAAACAGGACTATCCAAAGGGAGCTGTGACAATGATGTTCTGTGACAATCAGAGATATGACAATGGTGAATTGTGACAATGCTGTTCTGAGGTCCATGCACTATGACACAACTCCAGTATGGAGATTGCATCATTCTTTATGCTGGAGATGGAGCAAGGTGGTTGTGTGATGCTACCTGGGAAATTATTGCTGTTTATCCCAAACAAAGAGTGCAATGACAGCACTGATATGATGTAAGTCAAGACTGGCGAAACAATGATCCTATAAGGGTTAGTTATGGGGTGTGGGCATAGAGTTACAGGAGCAGGAGCAAGTCAAAGGTATATGTCACTGACAAGCCCTCAGCATGTATCACTGATGCTCCTTGAGCAACTTGTAGGCAACTGAGCACCAGCAACTATTTACTGCTTATATAACAACCTGGGCTGGCTTCTAGAAGATTCACATGCCTTGTGCACCTTGTAGGCTTGGGCTTCATTGTTGTTTTGTTAGTTTCCTGAACCCCCGAGCCTTGCCTGTCCATCCACAAGAGAATGTTTCAATCCAGGGGGAAGGAACTGTGTGACAAGGGTGGTGATTAACAACGATAAAAGCTATCTTGTATATGCCTGTCTGTATGCATCTGCGTGTGCATTTGTAATCATGTACACATGTGTTTATATGTGCTAGTACAAATGGAAGCTAGAGGTCAACCTCAGGTGCCCTTCTTCAGCTCCATCACTTTGGTTTTTGAGACAGGGTCTTTCACTGACCAGGAGCTCATCAAGTACATTAGATTGACTGGATCTGCCTGAGGAATCTGCCTGAGGGATCGGCCTGACTTCACCTCCCCAGTGCATGAATTACAAGCATGTGTCACTACGACTGGCTTTTGGTTAACGCATGTTCTGGGGGTAGAACTCAGGTCCTAAAGATTCCATGGCCAGCACTTTACTGATTCAGTGGTCTTCTCAGCTAGCTTCTTGATTTTTTTTTTCTTACTTATTCCTCCTTGGAATACTGAGGAAAAGTCTTACCAGCAAAATAGAAACTAATAATATTCAAGGGGGAAATAATGAAGCTTACGACAGTGAAAATGTTCTAGGAAAGATCCAACCCCAAGGACATCTTCCAACTCACTTCCTCTACCCAGAACCCACTTCCCGCTTTTCACCACCTCCCAAGGCCATATTATGAATCCATCAAGCTATTAATCCACTGATTGTGTCAAAGCCCACACCATCCAGTCATCTCTGGAGACCCACACACCTCAGAGGTGTACTTGGCTCAACTCTTAAATATCCTCAAGTCATTCCAGCCAGCAATCAAAATTACCTATCACGGTAATATAGAATGTATTTTAACTGTTATTTTTTTAAAAGCATGCATATTAAAAGTCTCTGTTTTACTATAACATTGATAGACCAAACTCTCTTTTAAAACAAAGTTTTGGGGATTTTCAACACTTTTTAGTAGTATGTAGATATCCTCGGATCAACAAGCCTACCCTTAGACATGCAATTTGTTTTTATTTGCTGTGTCTCTGTGGGTCTTCTGATCACCAGGCCCCTCCTTCTCCTTCTTTTCTTTTTTCTTTTTTTCTTTTAGGCTGGCAAGAGGCCACCACGCCCAGCCCTATGGTGGATGAATGGCAGTGGGGAAGAAATAAAGTGGAATTTCAGAGAACTGAGTAAAATCAGCCAACAGGCAGCTAACGTCCTCTCGGGAGCCTGTGGCCTGCAGCGTGGGGACCGTGTGGCAGTGCTACTTGGCCAAGTTCCAGAGTGGTGGCTGGTGACCCTGGGATGCATACGGACTGGTTAGTAACTGTCCACACAGGCTGGACATTCTCGCTCGTAAAGGAAATGAAAGGCAGACAACTGCAGCTTCCTCTCCTTAAAGAATCCCGTAGAACGTGCTGTCCTTACTTCTATTTATTGGTCTTCACATCCCTTCCCTGTTGGCCCCCATGGCTGTTCACGGTCCTTCTCTAGGGAAGAAGATAATCTTCGCTCTCTTTAAACTGTTTGTCTTCTCCAGGCCTTGTTTTCATGCCTGGAACCATCCAAATGAAATCTACAGACATACTCTACAGGCTGCAGTCATCCAAGGCCAGGGCCATTGTGGCTGGGGATGAAGTGGCTCAGGAAGTGGACACTGTGGCCCCTGACTGCTCTTTTCTGAAAACCAAGTTGCTGGTGTCTGAAAACAGGCGAGAAGGATGGCTAAACTTCAAGACATTGCTAAAGTGAGTATCTCCTGCCTTAGCCAAGTTTTCACCAAAAGAAGAAATCAAGACTAAAGAGAAGGAGACCATGAAGAAAGAAAAGCAAATGCAAGTGTTTATTCAAAAAGTGGGTGGGGCCAGGTATGCAGAAACCTGAGAAGCTTATAGAATGCTCCCAGGATTTTCTAAGAAAGGACGGACAAATATTTTCTTCATTTGTTGATGGCTGTAAGGGGTATCATCTACCACACACTTTTGAGCTTTTACACTTGCAGGCCCAGATTTCCATGTCATGGTAGCATTAAAAAAAAAAAAAAGATTAGGAGACTGAGGTGCTGAGAATATGGCTCAGTGGGAAAGAGCACTTGCTGTCTTGCTGTACAAGTATGGAGACCTGAGTTCTGAGTTCAAATCCCCAGCACCTGTGTAAAATGCCAGCATGGCTGCACATGCCTATAACTCTAGCATTAGGAGATATAAGACAAACAGATCTCAAGAGTTCACAGGCCAGCCTTGCCCCAAAGCCCAAAGCTAAGGTTCTGGTTCACTGAGAGACCCTGTCTCCAGGAAATATCATGGAAAGCAATAAGGGAGACACTTAACACCCTGCTTTGGCCTGTGAATGTTCACATACAGGTATGTGCTTAGCACATTTTCATATGAATACAACACATACATACCACACAGTACTACAAGGCACATATACAAAATATGTACATGCATGCACACACACACTACATAGACACACACACAGACAGACAGATAGACTACATAGGCCCACACAAGTGTATAATACACAGACACACACACACACACACACACACACACACACACACACACACACACACGCACATCTTGATATTAAGGGGAATCACTTTCACACACCAACATGCTATTGATCTAAATGGGGCCGAAAGTCATCCAGAACTATTCACCACATCCATAGATGAAATATTAGGCAACATCTAAGAGATGCCTAGTGCACTGATTTCCAGGCTCTTCTTCCCATATTCTATATCTGTAGGATATGCTTTCAAGAATAATGGTCCTTCCAGAATTCCACAGCAAGATTGGCTAGATAAGTGGGATTCTTGCCACAGGTCTAAAATCCTTCCATTTGAAACATGTGCCTTAGGAAACATCTGGGAAGAATATAAGGGTTTTTTTCCCTTTCTATTGTCATAATCTTTAAAATCATTTTCATAAAAATAAGAAAATTACAACTTTGAAAGATTCAAATTCAAGGTACTAGGTGACTTGTGAGGGTTATCCCAGAGAATAAAAATGTGTGTCAAGAAACCATGTGGGGTGCTGGAGAGAACAGCTGCTCTTCCAGAAGACCTGGGTTTGATTCCCAGCATCTACATGGCAACTTATAACTGTCAGTAACTTCAGTTCCAGGGGATCCAATGCCATTGTCCAACCTCCACAGAAAACACATGCATGTTGTACATATGCATAAAATGCAGGCAAAACACTCATACACTTAAAACAAAAATAATGTTTTGTGATCACTTGGAAAACTGCTCTCCTTCTGTACTCCTGTTATCATGCTGGGGCCAACCACACCTGAATTAACATTCAGTCCTGGCTAGGTATGTCCTCTCTTTCTTTGTTGTAGAGTTAGCTTTCTCACTGAACTCTTTGAGATAGGTTATCTTGTGCCCATCTCACAAATATGGAAAGGGAGACTCACAGAAGTTAAGTAATGTGTACAAACTTACATAGTTAGCAAAATGCTAACCCTGACTCATTCAGGAATGCATGAATTTTACCACTCTTCCCTTCAGAGACAGGTTATCTGACTTACCCTTGTCAGTTTGAGGGCTAGTGAGGTAAAATGAATTACAGACCATCATTATCTAGGATAGATATGAGACATTGACTTTCTGGTCCTCATAGGGATGTATCTACCACTCATCACTGTGTGGAGACTGGAAGCCATGAACCAGCTGCCATCTACTTCACTAGTGGGACCAGTGGCCCTCCCAAGATGGCAGAGCACTCCCATTCCAGCCTGGGCCTCAAGGCCAAAATGGATGCTGGGTAAGATGAGCTTTTTCCCTTCTTAGATTCATAATGACTGATTTGAAGTCAGGTCTAGTCCATCTTGTAGACTTCTAGAAAGACACCTTGAGGAGGGAGGCAAAGGGAGCAAGGCTTCACATACTGGGAGCTCTTCAGAGTAACATCTCTGTTTTAGACAATATAAGGTCTCAAGACACCTTCCTTGTTTCAAGCCACACTAGTAGGATGAAGAATAGCAATGGGGCACAGATGTCCCCTTCCCAGATGCTTTCTACCTTGCTTTTGGGGGGTCCTGGTAATTTGCCTTGATGACACCCAGATTCCAGTAGGTCATCTTTTTGTCAACAACAAATTACTTTGCAAATTTGCCCATGTGAAAAGTATCAGTATAGGAATAAGGTGAACAGGGTTTTTAGAGTTTTCAGAACGTAGGCCTCAAGACAGCACTAATTTCATTACCAGGTCAATATGGCCTGTGGAATCAGAAGGCATGGTGCCAAGGTCTTCATGCTCTTTTTTCACCTTCCTGCAATGATGATTTTATTATTAAAATGGAAAATATTTTAATGTTAAAAATATTTCTTAAAAGTATTTCAAAGTGTAAGGAAACGGAATTAGTCTTAATTAGGAGTAAGGAGTACAGTCTCATAAAGTCCTTGTCACACAAGCAGGAGGACTTGAGTGTGAACTACAGAATTCACATTAAAAATATAGAGTTTTGTGGTTGAATTTGTAATGCTAAATCCTGGAGGTGGCAATTGGTGAACTCTTAAGACTCACAAGCTGGCAAGCTCAGCCTAATTAGAAAACCCCAAAGCAGGCAGTGAGAGATATGTCTCAAAAATTAAGATAGACAGGACCTGAGGACAACACCTGATATTCACCTCTGGGCTCAACACACACACACACACACACACACACACACACACACACACACACACTTATTTACTGTGATGCCTTTTATTAGTAAGCTTTTCCTTGTCAGCAACTGTCCTAATATTGGGAATAAGGTGAGAACAAACTCAGTTAGCCACTAAATTTTGTCTTCTGGGTCATACTTTCTAAAAGCACTGCCAACCTCTTCATACAGGCTGCATACCCACATCTCACCCTTCCCACACACAGCCCCTCAAGCATCACACCATTACTGTGCACTCAGCTCTGTGTGCCTATGTTCTGTGTTCTCAGTACCTGGACAGGTCTGAATGTCTCTGACACAGTATGGACCATCTCAGACACAGGTTGGATACTGAACATTTTAGCCTCGTTTCTGGAGCCTTGGACATTGGGAGCATGCATATTTGTCTATCTTTTGCCAAAGTTTGAACCACAGACTGTTCTAAAGGTAAGAGAGGACCACCCCCATTGGTTGGTCAGAGTAAGCTCCAACACATTCCAGATCATGACAGTTGGTTTCAATTCTTAAGATTTTTGCTAACAAGCCACGTGGATGAGCAGTGGACGCAGGAAGCAAGATGGAAGTTTGCACCCATCTACCAAAGCTCATGGTCTAGGGGAAAGAGATGGACACAGGCATTGATGAATGGTGTGTGTTCAAGAGATGGAACTAGGTTATCTCAGGGATAAATAAGAATCTGGGAAATGATAGGCTGATGGGTGTTTATTTAGGGAGAAATCACTTACACCAGAAACTGATGACTGACCACAGGTTCCCATCCCAAGGATGCTTCTGGATGTTCTCTGTCTCCAACCAGGAAGAGAGAGAGAGAGAGAGAGAGAGAGAGAGAGAGAGAGAGCTCTGGGAAACGGGATCCCAGACCTAGTCCCCCTTGGTCATGCCTGGACCTTGTCTCCATGCCCCAACCTGTTCCCATGCCCCAATGGGCATGGTCAGTGCAACAGGTGCAGATGGGGTGGATATCTCACTACACTAAGTGGTTGTGTAAGACCCTCGGAGGGCGTGGACCCTCACGCCCTGACTCAGGAAAGGCGCCCCCCCCAAATCACTCACGAGAAGTGGTCTTGATGCAAAAGCATGAGGTCTTTTATATTCCAGTGCACTGGGGTCCGCAGCCATACTCCACGTGGGGTACAGGACTGGGAACCCTGGGTACAGGGTTCAGACAGCTTTTATAGGGTTACAACAAAGCCCTCGCATTACAAACCAATCATCTCAATGGCATCCAGTGTGGACCAATCAATTTGAACTATCCAAGCCCGCACTTTGCCCAGGAAGTCTGCATTCGCTGGGGCTCCTGGGTAGTGTGACAAGCCCATGCTTAGCCCAGGAAGTCTGCTTTTGATAGGGCTCCTGGGTAGTGTGGCACGGCTCATTTTCTGTTCTCATTCACTCACAGGTGCTGTCAGTAACCCACCCTGTCATAAAACAGTCAAGAATGATCTTTTGCCTACTCACTGCTAGGGGGCAGAGTCTAGGGAAAATTGGGATAAATTTTTCCATCCTTACAGTTGTCCTCTCAACTAAGAGATACTTCTTTTTCTGTCAGTTCTCAGATTAAGGGTGGAGAAGTTATGTGGTCTGATCTTGGGACAAACTCGGAGATTGGTGGGATTCTGTGGCCTGATCTTGAAGCTCAAGAATTTGTGGGATTTCTTGCTCAAGAATTGGTGGGATGTCATGCTAAGGGATTGGTGGGATTCTGTGGCCTAATCTTAGGACAGGCACAGGTATTGATGTTTTGCTTGGTTTTGGGTTTTTTTTTTTCTTGGCCCTTGTCTTAGTTAGGGTTTCTATGACTGTGACGAAATGTCATGACCAAAAAGCAAGTTGGGGAGGAAAAGGTTTATTAGGCTTACACTTCAGCACTGCTGTTCATCACTGAAGGAAGTAAGGACAGAAACTCAAATAGGGCAAGAACCTGGAGGAAGAAACTGATGCAGAGGCCATGAAGGGGTACTGCTTGCTGGCTTGCTTCCCCTGACTTGACTTGCTCATCCTGGTTTCTTACATAACCCAGGAAGAGCATCCCAAAGATGGCACCACCTATCATGGGCTGGGACCTATCCATTGATAACTAATTTAGAAAATGCCTTACAACTGGACTCATGGAGGCATTTCCTCAGATGAAGCTCCTTCCACTGATGACTCTAGCTTTTGTCAAGTTGACACACAAAATCACCCGATACAGCCCTGGTCTTTGACTTGGGGTCAAGTCAGGGTCAGGGTGTTATCTCATTGCAGGCAGTTCTTTCCCTGGCCCTTTTACCCTACATTAATCTATTCCCCTTGATAGCTGAGGCTTACACATCCTTTGGTAAGGTGGGGGTGGGATTGCAAGGGTGAATCTTAAACTGAATGGGAAGAGCCAGATAACCCTCAACAAAAGTATTCTGAATGAATCTGAACCTCTTTCTGTCTGCATTCATTCCTCTTTTGTGTCTTGAGCATATGTGAGAATCATAAGGATTGTTAAGTCTGAAACAAACACAACAGACAAACTAGGATTTCAGTCTGTATCACTACAAATTGAGAAGTTGTAACTGTCATGATGACGTGTGCCTTGATGAGTTTGGCATCTGGTCTAATGAGCAATGTCTCTCCCCACAGGTGCTGTCCAGCTATCCCATCAACAGCCTGGTGGGTGCCCCCCTCATTTACCGGATATTGCTACAACAGGATCTTTCCAGGTGATGGACATTTGGAAGATTGTTAGGAGCCTCTAAACCCATCCCTATGCCTATTTATTTGGACACACTTAGCCTATATAAACACAGGGCCACCATCATAGCACCCAGAACTCTGTCCCAAGCCTAGGTAGACTTCAGTTCCAATGAAGCTAAGAGAAAATAAACTCTCTTCTTTAGTTACAAGTTTCCACATCTGCACAGCTGTTTCACTGGAGGAGAGAGCCTTCTCCAAGAGACTCTGGAGAACTGGAAAGCCAAGACAGGACTGTACATCCGAGAATTCTACGGCCAGACAGAAACAGTATGTACTCCCTAGGGGATCATGGGCTGAGTACTCCAGACTTCAAATTCTGTTTGCTAATTGGGCTATTGTGAAGTAGTGTATCACTCTTTTAGTTTGGAAATACTTAATGAGCATCCACTATAGGATCAAAATGACAATATTCCCAATTTCATGGGCATTAGATTCTAGTCGGGGAGAAGGCAGAAAATCAAGAAATAGATGCCGCGGTAGGTGATGAAAAGAGCTATGGGGATAAAGTTAAAGAGGAGTCAAGAGCTAGAGACTTTAATCTGTTCTGTGTTGCTATAACATAGTAACTGAGGCTATGTGATTTATGAAAAGTAGATATTTTGGCTCATAGTTTTGAAACTGGGAAATCTAAGATTGGATGTTGGCATCTGCTCACACCTTTGGTATCTCCATGCTGCTTCAACTCTTGCTGAAAAGTGGATGGGAAAACAGACATGGGCCAAACAAACTAAAACAAGGGGTAGCCTTGCTTTGTCAAAACCTACTCTTGTGTGACTGACAGAGTCTTAAGAGAGTCACTACTCAGTCCCATCAGAAAGGTGTATTATGCCCAAAATCCAGATCCTCAAAATACTACAACGGGGTCTGATTCTGATGCAAAAGCAAAGAGTCTTTATTGTGAACTAACTAAAGCTTCCCAGCAGCAGCAGCAGGAGAGAAAGGATTCCTGAGTAGTGCTGGGAGCAGGGTGTTTTTTAGTGGCCAGGCAAAGAGGGGAAGGATTGGAATTGGCTGCTCCCTATGGGGTGATGATCTGCCTGCTTCTGATTGGCCCCTCCCATTAGGGGGAAGAGTCTATGATGTTGGGGGCCAGAGAGAGTTCACCCCTCCAGACTTGAGGGAACTACTTACTTTCTGGACTAAGGTCAGGGAGAGATCATGCTGCCAGACTAGAGGGAGCTACTTCCCTGCTCAGGGATTGGCCAGGTTTTTCTCCTCAGAGATTGGTTGGTTTTGTGTTTCAGTTGATCAGGGGCAGAGATGGCTTTGGTTTCAGGATCAAACGGTGTTTCTTTCACTGGTTCTTTTTAACCTTTTGGCTCTAATTTTAATGTAGGGACATATTTCTTGAACTGGCTCTGATTCTAGGGGCAAGTGTGTTTCTTTGGCCCTGGGTTCAGAGTCAGGGTGCTCAGGGATTGCACTATGGCTACAGATCTGTTGGGGCCTGCCTGGTTCTCTCGGTTGATTCCTCTTCTGACTTCAGAGGCTTCACCTCCAAACACCACCACCACCGCAAAACACAGCAACTGCTCATTCAGACAAGATGATCATGGTGGTCCTCTGTGACAGAGTCACACATTGGCAGAAAACTGCGACTCTCAGCTGTGCCAGGCACAACACTCAGCTGCTTAGATGGAAGCAAAGCACAGGGAGAAGCCAGTAAAGTCCCTGCCATCCCTGCCAGTCTTGGCAGCTGATTGGCAGCATGTGTACAACTTGTGCCTGCACTGTTCTGGGCTACTTCTTAGAAGAGCCTGGTGATTCTGTCCCCCAGCTTGACTGGCCCCTTTTCTGAGTGTCCTCCTCTCTGGTGACCCTCGGTGTTCCTCTCTGCCCTCTCACCCATCTTCCTTCTCTGGTTAATGCCCCCCAGTCGTGCCCCCCCCCCCAGCAGGCTGGAGGCAGTGCTGCAAATCAGTGAAGAAGAGCTTGTGAATACAAGTGAGGACCACAGTACATGGAGTGCACACCCAGTAAGGGTTGTCATCCATGTCATCCATCCAGAGGAGAACAATGCAGAGGGAGAAAGACAGAGGATGGGAATGAGGAGAGGGAATGAGTCAGGCCTTCGCACTGAACCCTTCCCTCGATGACCATGCTGCTCTTCCTGAGCCTTGATATCCTATCTGTGTCTCTCCACAGGGACTCACCTGCAGAGTTTCCAGGACGATGACTGTCAAACCAGGATCCCTGGGAACAGCTATCCCCCATTATGATGTACAGGTTTGGAAGGGCAATAAGGAGGGAGGGAAAATATTAATTTGTGGTCATGTATTATTTATTACATTTTCATTGAGTGGAACTAATATTAGGTATGTTAGGTCAGCTGGGTGAATGACCCAGATGCCTGTTTTCTGAACTAAAATAAATAAACACCCAGATCTAGATTGATTGATTTACAGCAGAATCCCACCAGTCCTTCAAACAGAAACTACAATCAATACTTTTTAGAATTACTTTTAAAAATATAAAGAGAAGGAACACCTCCAAACACCTGTAAAGCCATAATAACTAGAACACCAAAGCCAGGTAAATACATTACAACAAAACAAATAAAATTATAAATCAATATTCTCATGGACATAGATGCAAAAAAAATCTCAATAAAATATTTGTAAACTGAATATAGGCAAACATAAGAAATATCATCCACAGTGATCAAGTTGTCTTTAATTTTTGACATGCAAGCATGGTTCAACTTACCTAAATCAAAAAACACAATAAGTCATATAAATTGACTTAAAGACAAAAATCACATGATTATATCCATAATATATTTCTGAAAAGCCTTTGACAAAATCCAATCCAACTTTATGGTAAAAGTTCTGTAGTGAACAAGACTGGAGAGAACAAAATTCAATGTAATAAGAAGCCCACAGCCAAAATCAGCCTAAATGAAGAAAAGCTTGAAGAAATCAGATTAAATTTAGTAATGAGATCAGGTACATATACAGTTTAAATGAAGTTATATATACCACATGGGTGCTAATGCTTCCCTCAAGAGCCATAAACTAAATGCCTAAACCCCAAACCCTATTGCCAGACATGGGAATCCTCCCTTGGAGTTGTTGGCCAGGGTTGATGCTCCAAGAGATTCCCAAAACAAGATAAGCTATTGCCATTTCCCTTGGTTGCCCTCCAGGACCTGAAGATAAGACCCTATTGGTGAAGGGCACAAGATTTGGAAAGATTGAGCTGGAACTTTTCCTCTCCTTCCTGAGACTTACTTGCACAGTATTGGAAGGTGCTATGCAAGCTGACCGGGGAGAAAAGCAATCAATGGTTCTACTCAGATGCAAAGCCTAATAACAAGTACTGGCCTAGCAAGATATCCCCAGTGATGCATTAATATCTTAGATGTAACCAATAGATGCCAAATTTGACTTGCAGCCTGCTCACTAGGAGAATATTCATGCCTTGTCCTATGGCTGGAAAGGACATGGATCCCAGAGGAGAACCCACTACTGCTATTTCCCTAAACTAATGTAATTTCAGGCTGCATTCTAGGTACATATCCTTGTACCCACATTTAAGCCTAAGATCCTGCACACCCTCTGCAGTAGACAGACACCACTACAGAGAATGTAGAAAGCAACTTGTAGTGGGGTAACCAACACCAATTGTTACATATTCAATGAAACCCCACACCTAAAGTTCAGGTGACATTGTGGAAGAAGGGCCAGGAAAACTAAAAGCCAGGGGACTAGGGCTTATGTTGTGAGATAGCTATCTTCTAGAGATGATAGCAGAAGCTGTGCCCATGAAATCTCAACAACATAGTTGCCAAGACAAAATCTGCATTAATGACATTACCCAACATGAATAGTGGAGATTTCACAAGGCTACACACCTACATGGAAAAGTAGAAGCCCTCCATGGCTACCAAGAGTGAAAGAACCAGTTTTCTCCAGGGACAAGCCTCCTAATAGGTTATCCAATCCCATATGTCAAGTCAACCTCTTGACACAAGTATATTTGAACAACACTAAATGGACTCCGCATGGTGTGTGTGAGTGTGAGTGTATGTGTGTTTATCATGTGTGTATGCATTTATGTATGTATGTATGTATCAGTAGTTAAAGAAGAAAATACCATGAAGTTGAGAGGAGTGAAGAGGGACAGGAAAGGAGTTGGGGAGGGAGTAGAAATGGTGTAAATAAAATATTTCTGTATGGAATTCTCAAAAATAACAAGTGTAAACCTTAAAATAATATTGATATATTAATATGATGTTTTAAAAGGAGAAGGGCCAGTGTGATAGCTCAGAGTGTAATAGTTTGATGACCTGAGACTCACATGGTGGAAGGAGAGAACAAATTAAAACCTACACAATCTCTCTCTCTCTCTCTCTCTCTCTCTCTCACACACACACACACACACACACACACACACGTGCGCACGCGCGCGCACACACACACACACACAAATGAGTGAAAGAATGAATGAAATATTTTTACTTTCAGTTTTTGAAAAGGAAGAAAAAGAAAGGCAATGAGAGAGGGAGAGAAAAGAGAAAGATGGGAAGACAAAAAACAGGAACCACTTTGCTTCTCTAGCAAATTGGCTGAATAATTACATCATTAAATGTAGAAAGAAAAATAGAAGTGACTTGACATACCGTTTTGTAACTTGGGTATATAGTTTAACAATCATGTGCCCTTCCTTCCAGGTCATTAGGCACCCATTGCAGCACAGAAACCAATGACTGACAAGACAGAGCAGCTTCACCACTCTGTGTTATCAATGGTGGCACTCATTTGTATTAGCAGTATAGTGACCATATTGTAACAAAAGTGTTTTCTCTTTTTATTGATTTAGACTGAATTCTAAAAACTAGAATTTAAGTTTGTGTGTCTATGGTTACATGTAGATTTCTGTTTATTGGAAGTATGACAACATGTCTAATGCAGAATCGTGTGTAATGAGCTGTCATTTAATTCACTGTGGTAACTATACAGTAATGGTTTTTAGTGTCATTTCATTCACCATAAGCATTTCTGTTTTACAGAAGCCAGCATCCAAGCATAGTGACTCATAGCTGAAGGATAGTGGCCAAGGTAGTAGAACAACATTTGACTTTTAGTCTCTAAGTCTACAAGCGAGGAAGCTCTCAGTGATAATGGGAGGCACATGTTTCTCCTAAAGCTCTACAGCCAGAGGCACCTGCCCAGGTTCCTCTGGTCCAGTATACTGAGAGGCTTTACTAGCACCTAGGCAGGTAGACCAGGAATCCAAGCTTAAACCTTCTGGCTTCTTTTGACTTCTAGGCCCTGTTGAAAGCAAGATGGTCTCCACGTGTCCAACTCTACTATTACACCACTGTTGTGTAGCTTCTCTTCTGTGGGTCATCTATCCACTCTTCCTCTTCCTCCAGGTAATAGATGAGCAGGGAAATGTCCTGCCCCCTGGAAAGGAAGGAGACATAGCCATCAGGGTGAAGCCCTTCCGGCCTGTAGGCATCTTCTCTGGATATGTGGTGAGGACCTATGCTCTCTCTCTCCCTGTAAGAATGAGATGAACCAAATAGGATGATGGTTGTCTGATGTTATAAAGACCCCCCTGAAATTCACAGAATTATCATGGTTCAAGAACAGGCACTTGTCCATGGTGACACCTAATGCTGTGTAAACCAGCAATAATATTAAATTAGGACAAAAAAGAACAGTCACTTTATGAAGAGAGATGCCAGACCATTCACTCTTGCCCATCGTTAGCCAAGCACTAAGAAATCACTAAAAACCTCCCCTTTCCCCATAAGCCTTTGCAACAACAAAACCTTCTACAATGTTCCAGTATTCTTATTGCCTCTGAGCATTCTCTCTGCTCTCTCAGCAAAGCACAGAGAGGCTCTATTGCAGTGTGGAGCTTTAGAGCCATGCTGGGTAGTCCATGGAGAGAATCACAGCATTATTGAGAGCATCCAGGGTTCAGACCTCTGGAAGCCACTCACAGATAATATCTGAGTAAGGCCAGCTCTCTTTCCAGGAAGCAATGTGATGGTGAAGCCAAAGATTATAAGCTCAGTCAAATCTACAACTGTTGGGAGGGGGTAAGACACAACTTCAAACATACAGCTTCTGGATATATGGTGAAGGCATGTGCCCAAGATTATAAGTGAACAAGTCCACTGATAATGCTCTTCCTATCATTTATTGTAGCAGTTCTCAACCTACGGATCATGACCCCTTTTGGGGTCAAGTGACTCTTTCACAGAAGTTGTCTAAGACCATTAGAAAACAGGATTATTTATCCTATGATTTATAGCAGTAGCAAAATTACAGTTATGGAGTAGCAATAAAAAGAATTTCATGATCTGGGATCACCACAGCATGAAGGACTATACTAAAGGATCACAGCACTAGGAAGGTGTATTAAGCATATACTACAAAGGCAAGCACTCTTAAAATTCCTTGTATATTTTAAATACATTTAATGTTTTTAGACACCATGTGAAATTTTTAGAGCCAGCTTGCTTAAATTCAAATGCTACTCCAGTATTTGCTGAACAACCAGGAACCAGTTATCCACCACCCTGTCTCACTTCCTCATTGGTGAGTTGGGTATTGTGTTGTATCATATTAGGAATGTAAAGGTAATGGTATTTATGGAGCACTTAGAGATCCACTATGTACAAATATAATAAAGACATTATGATAGCTCCAAATTATCACCTCTCCTCTATAGGGGAAACTGAGGCTCTGCAACCAGGACACAGCTAAATTGTACTCTCCAAATATTGCCTGCACACTTTCCCCATATATTCTTACATGCTAGCAAGGGAGTTGGGACAGGGGGTGGGGGCAGCTAAACAGTTAACCAGAGGGGCCTAGCCATGCAGAAGTGTGAACACTGGGCGAGGCTTTGGAACGGCACTGGCCAGTCTCAATAACTTTCAGTGGTATTGTACAGTGAACAGAGGTTAAACTGTCTGTGGAAGGAAAGATGGAATATACAGGGAGGACACACTAGAATATAAATGGATTAGTGACTGTGTCAGCATTGTCTGTAGATCAGATCCAGGGTAGTAGGTTAAGACTGTCAGTCAAATGACTGAAATAAATGGAGAAGATCCAGCTTGGCTAGGGAATCTAAGGTCACCATACAATGTACAGATGCTCAAGTGTAAACCGAAGTAACTGTTCATGGAAGTCCTGGGGCTGGGGCCTTAGATTTTGCAGACACAGTAGCTCTCTGCTTCTGTGCTCACTAGGACAATCCCAAGAAGACAGAGGCCAATATTCGAGGAGACTTTTGGCTTCTGGGAGACCGGGGAATCAAGGATCCAGAAGGGTATTTCCATTTCATGGGGAGGACAGATGATATCATTAATTCCAGTGGGTGAGCATTGTTTCTTGACCAAGAAGGGTATTCTGGGGTTTTGTTCTGCCTGATTCTTAGTCCTCGAGGTTGGGTATCCAGTCTTCTTTAAAGGCCATACATCCTTTGGCAGGTACCGGATTGGTCCATCAGAGGTAGAGAATGCATTGATGGAGCACCCTGCTGTGGCTGAGACAGCTGTGATCAGCAGCCCAGACCCAACCAGAGGAGAGGTAACAGTGCAGTTGTGAAACATGGGGACTGTGTTTTAAGGTGGTTAAGAACACAGATTCATAGGCTAGACAGCTTGGGTTCAAATATTGACCATACTGCCAATCAGTTGTGTGACCTGTGTGACCTTTACCAAGCTGCTTAACCACTATTTTCCTCAATGTCCACATTTATGGGATGAAGGACTGTCATGAGCATTAAATTTGCTATATATTTGCCAAGTGCTGGGGACGAGACTTAGCAGCCTGGCACATCAATGTCGGTAAGGACCTGTTTCTTGACAAGAGTGAAAGAGGGAGGATTTGGTCTAGAAGATGCAGCCCTTGAACCTTGGCGTGAAAGAGGAGGACCCTATAACATCAGGGTTATAGGACAGAGCTTAGGGTGTGTGGGGGGGGGGCTTAAGGTGGGTAAGTGGATCAGTGTCTCTGTGCACTTCTGCATGCCGATGTCTTATGTCTGGCAGGTACGGGTGACATGCATGTAAAATACTGAGAGCCACTGGGAGAACACAAAGGGGACCTTCCACTGAACTTTGAGTTGCAGATGGTCTTGTTTTACTTCCTGTGACTTAAATGTGAAAAAAATTATGCCATTCTACAGATGGGTAAACTGAAATTGAAAGAGATTAAACAAACCATTTAGCGCCCCCATTCTTTGTTTCCCTATCTTTCCTCTCTGCATCTACTTTCTCCTTGGCAGTCTTTATGATCACTGGAGTATGAGGTGAGCCTGGGATCTCTTATCCTCACGTCTGAACCAAAAAAATAAGTCACTTGAGAGCAAGTTGGATTTCTTACCCACTTCCCAAGTGTTCCTTTCATTTGGCCCTGCCATTTGGATGAATGCAGGCATTCAGTTGTAGTATGGGCATCTTGATACTGATTTTTGCTTCATCCCAGGAGATTAATGAGTATTCTGATTCCTCTGGGGTCCCATCCTTGCTGTAGGTGGTAAAGGCATTTGTGGTTCTTGCCCCTGAGTTCCTGTCCCATGACCCAGAACAACTCACCAAGTTGTTGCAGCAGCATGTGAAGTCAGTGACGGCGCCCTACAAGTACCCCAGGAAGGTGAGGCCTTCACCGCCCGTGTCCCCTGTGCTTACAGAAGAACCCTGTGGTGACTAAAAACTCCCCCCAAACAACTCAAGAACTATCTTAGTACATGAAAAATGGTCACAGCCTTTGACTTGCTCTGAATTTAAAGCCAAATGCTTTCATGGGAGTTCACTCTGTGTAGTGGGGTTTTGCAAACCTATTCAGAACTATTCAGCTTTCAGTTGCAATGAGGGGCACTCATATGTAAGGGTTTTTTAAGAAAGTGGCATGGACCTCTGGGAAAAGTAAGAATGGGAAGGGGAGGAGAAGGGCAGGGTGAAAGTACACTGCACTTTGGTCTCAACAGGAACCTGGACAACCTCATGGGATGCTCATGAGACAGTTCGGAAATCTGCTGAGTTGGAGTCAGGAGCAGGAAAGGGCCATTATAGCAATATGTAGAACAGGCATGAGTGCATATTGCTGTGGGAAGAGGCTGGCAAGACAGCAATCTTAGAGAAGGCACAAGAAAGGGGTTGGTAGGAGCGCTACATCCTCTGTTCCTGCAGAGGGTTGCAACGGAATATTAGAGCCCACAACCAGACTTTCATCCTCAAACTGAAAGGGGGCAGGCAGCACAACTCAGAATCAGGAAGCACACTGTGCGTCAAAATCCACCTCTGCTACTTACCCAATAGCTTCTCTGACCCTGAGAGTCTTCATCTGCAAAATGGAGACAGAGGATATTGATTTTCCCTTCTGAATGTGATGGGTGCGTGCGCTGTATGTGGCAGTTCCATGATTAACTTGGAAGGTTTTTTTTTTTATTGTAGATAAGAGAGAGAGAGAATAGACAGAGGCACCTGGGGGAGTCTGCCATGGCTACCTCCCAGGGACAGAAAGAGGAGCAGACTGGCAGTTGCTATGAAAGCAGAGAAGTTGGCAAAAATGCCAGGAGAATCTTGCCAGTTATAAGGATTATGCTGGGGAGAGGTGGTGGTGGTGGTGGTAAGCTGCTGAAGCTCTCTGGGAACTAGTGCAGGACTCTGATCTGTTGGAGGCTTGTTTGAGTTAATAGAGAACTAGATGTCCTCTCCAGAGATGAGGTGAGTGTAAGATTTGTTAAGCATTAGACATGTAGAAGAGTAACTTGAACAGAGTAAACACTTAATGAGTATTTCTAAAGAAATTACGTGGGGCTGGAGAGATGCCTCAGCAGTCAAGAGTACTAGCTACCCTTCCAGGAAATCTTTTTTTAAAATTTAATTTAATTTAATTTTTTTATTTTACATATCAATCCCAGTTCCCCCTCCCCTCCCTTCTTCCCTCCCTCCCTCTCTTCCTCCCTCTTGGATTCCCAAAATCTGCATGGAATTTAGAATGATCTGTAATTCCAGTTCCAGGGGGATCCACTGCTCTCTTCTGGCCTCTACAGATAATGCATGCACATGACACACAGACATACAGGCAGGGAAAAAACACTCATATACATATAATAAAATGATGATTTTTTAATTTTTTTAAGTTGCTACAGGACATTTTGTAATATCAAGAAAGGGGGCCCAGTCACACCATGTCCATGATGAATATATCACTCAAGTATTGGCCCTGGTCTTTCCTCTAAACTCCCTAAGGCAGCGGGTGCTTTCCCTGTAGTGTTCTCCCTACCAACCACATCCTCTGCTCCTCTTTCACAGTAAGCAGGGCAGTTTTCTTCTTAGTATCAAACTGAGCTATCCCTGTGGCTGCCTTCTACTCCTTATGTGTCCCCAGTTGGTTTTCACTGCAGTATTCCATTTTGCCTTTCAAATGTTAAAGCATTCAGAATCGATACCATTGTCCCTTCTAATACAAGATGCCCAGTGGATAAGAAATCACCAATAGTGTTATAGTACACAAGAGAAAGTTACAGACCACCATGGCTATAAAGCCAGGTAAAAGTTCTCTACTTGGGCTAGAGAACAAGAGCAGGCTTTTTGCCACGGGTGGGAGGTAGACAACCAAACACCATAATTAAATCATGCCAGAGGCAAGCATTGCTTCCAAAGGTTCAAATGCTCAGTTATTTAAAATAATTTGTCTTAGGTTGTAAGACAGTGGAGCTCCAAGTGCAGCTGCAGGGAAATGTTCTGCTGGGCAGGGTGTAGTCAGCAAGGGCTGGGGAGCAGGTGCGTAGAGCTAGCTGGACTAATAACAAACTTTTTATAAACTATGAGGTTTTTACCCTATGTATGCAGTTTTCTCATAACTATAACAAAAATGCCCGAAAGAACACCTCTACAAGGAAGGATTAATATTGGTTTCAGTGATTTCCGTCCTTAGTCCTCAACATGGTTGACTCCAGGCCCAGCTTGAGGCAGAACACATGATGCTGTGTGCGTGTGGAGAAAGAGACTGCCTTTCATGCAGAAACTAAGCAAAGATAAAAAACAAGGGCCAAGGCCAATATATAACCCAAAGGCAATTCCTTCCCTGGATCTTCTCCATCCTTCTAGGCCCCCACTTCCACGTCTACCACCTCCCAATAACACCATTGCATTGAGAACTCATTAATGGACTGAAGTGTTCATCAAGTTAGATCCTTCATGGAAATCTGGAAACCCATCCCCAGCCATCCCCTTAAGGTGTATTTAATTAATCTCACAGGCTCATGTCATTCAAATCTGGCTGACAAGATAAACTATCATCTATGATTACCCCTGACAAGTTCAGTTTAAAATTCAAAGCCAATAAGGAATTAACAGCAATAATAATAAAATAGACCAATTAGAACAACCTAATATTAAAAATTCACTTAAACTTACAAATTGTTTATCTCTAGAATTTTCCATCTACTGTCTTAGGTTGCAGTTGACCACAGGTAATTAAATCCCACTGAACCCAAACCATCGATAAACAGGGACTAGCTGAAGGAGTGGGACTATCTGTATGTATTTTGCCAACAGGTCACAGATTTTTCAGCCTGTTTTATCCCAATGTACTTTGAGCAAATTCCTTTCTTAACAATTCTTATGGAAGCATTTGCACACATCAGCTGCCACGAGTACAGCTTTTCTTTACCAAAATTGCAGTTATTATCTTTCATTAAACCTAAAGACGACAGATTCCCAGATTAATGCCATAGCCAGCTGAGCCACTTAAGTGAAAGTCTCAATGAATTGTCATCTGTATCTTAATACTCAAGAATATTAGAGTCAGTCCTTCACTTCAAATGAGAGAATGATGACATCAGTGAGATTTTGTAGTTTGGCCAAACACACACACACACACACACACACACACACACACACACATATATATATCATAAGAATTGAGATGAAATTCAAAACAGTGTCCCCAGCTTTTAGATGTCTGCTTTAGATGTCTCCGCTGGTCCAGATGAATAGCCATAGCTGATACTCATGAGTGTCCACTCAATGCACAATCTCATATTATCTCTACAACAACCTAAAGATATTGTTGTTATCCTTTGTTGTACTTAATAGTTAAGCTGAATCTTGGATTCTAAAGCTGGCTAGAGTAGGAATGGAGGCATACAGAGTTTGGAATGGGAGTCCAGGTGCCTGCCTCTAGACCATGCCATGTTCATTTTGCTGCTTCTCCTCTTTTCAAGACTACAAACCAGTGCTCTGGACCCCCATGCTCTAGATATCCCTGTTTTGTTCTAGCCATCTTCTTCCTGCCCTGGTTTCAAGAAACCTTCTGAGGCTTCTTATTGCAAACAGAGCTGACTTAGAGAATCTCCATCCTCCATCCTCATGTACCTGGACCCTCCAATTTTAAGATCTGGTACTCACAGCAGCTCCTCTTTAAAAAATTAAAAAAAAAAAAAAAAACAATGCCACTGTGGTCATCAATGATCCATGTTGATCTGATTTTTCACAACAGGTGGAGTTTGTTTTAGACCTGCCCAAGACCATCACAGGAAAAATTGAGCGAGCCAAGCTCCGAGCCAAGGAATGGAAAACATCAGGACAAGCCCAGGTCCAGTGAGACTCCCAAGGCTCCTTGCTCTGACATCTTGGCTGTCCTAAAGAGACATAAGATTACTCATGCAGAGGCTATGTGTGATTTTTGTCTTTGCTTAGTTATTAACACAGAACAATGACCTCTTGGGTGTTAAAAGAAGAAAGAAGGATGAGAGATTTGCAGGAGAAAAAAAAAACAAAAATAATGTGAAAGAAGACTAAAACAGCAAAGAAAGGCAATTACAAATAATAGCAGGCAGGAAGGGAGAGATAGAGGGACGGAGGGACGGAGGGAGGGAGGGAGGAAGAAGGGAAAGTAGGATGAAGAGAGGGGGAAAAAGAAAAGAGAAAGAAACTGAAGAGAAATTAGGAAAGGAGGATCATGTGAACAGGACACAAAGTCTTCCCCAAATTGCCTCAATCCTTAGGTACATCATGTCCAAAGGTGGAGAAATATCACTTACAGAGCATTTGTCATGTACAAGGCACTGCCCTAGACATGTGTCAGGCCATCCTGTTTCGTTCTGGCATCTGCAGGCTCAATTTCTGCACCTCAAAACATGTCACTTCCTGTGGCTTACATTTCTTTTTATTTCTACACTTCCCAGAATCAATATTAAATTCATTTCAAAATCAAAATTCTGAGGGCCCTCTTTGGACAAGACAGAGAGGAGGGGTTTGTGGCCACTTGTAAACTAAGGAACCCACAGGACTGACAGATGATTTAAACTGCAGGCTCAGCTACCAGGGTTACCTGACCAGCAGATCTATGGGTCCAAGGGAGATGTTGAGGGGGTGGAGCTTCACCTGTAACCTAGAGACCAAAGGTTAATGAGCCTTCTCAGGAGAACTGGGCAATCAGAAAATGAAAGCAAAGGTTCTCAAGAGCCAATGACTCTTCTTAAGGACACTCAGTGACAATAACAGCTCACTACTTACCAAACATTCGCCAGGAGCTAGTCACTATCACTGTTTGATGCTTAAGTTTTACAGAGGAGGAAACTAACACTTGGCAAGATTAAATGATACCATCCAGTCACACAATAGAGAAATAACAGAGACCGGCTCTGTCTGTGTAATGCCTGTACTTTGAGCATCTTCCCTTGATCCATCAGCATGTTTGCTTTGGCTTCCACAGTCTGTATCAGTTATAATTCTCTAGGTTAAAAAAAGGTCTCTGTTTAACTCCCCCCCATTAAAGTAAGCAAACCAAATACTATGTTGTTTAATTAAATTCTAGATATGTGTGTTAAAGGAAAGTTGTTAAGTTTTAAAGAGTTCACCTCAGAGGTCTGTACATGTCACATTATGTACACATTAGACAGTATGGGCTCATGGTGTTTACCTGGGTTTCACACTGTTTGGCATATTCTGAAAGGTTGCTATAAAGATGACATCAGCAAGAATAAAAATATATTAATTAGCCAGTAAGATTTGGAAATGAATCCTGGTCTAGGTCTCCTACAACTATTTTAATCAAGCCTCATTGGGTTTCATATTATAAGCCTATTATACTCGAAAAGGTGTTCTGTTTCAAGACCTGAGGAATTTTATAAATTGTCAGCTAGGATTCATGAGGGCCAGCATCAGGAAGGTCAAGGATGCAGGCAGCCACTCTACCTGCTCCATAGAAACAGAGGATCACATCAGCTGGTCCTCGTACCCATCCGTCCTGTTTACTGTGAAAATTTAGGATGGTGTCATCATATGAGCTTTCCTCATTCCCCACCCTCTGACACTGTTACCTTCCTGCTTCAATGTCACCAACTTAATTAAAAAAGAACAAAAACAAAAAAAAAAAAACAAATATAATTGGCTGATGTGAGTTGTTTACCTGGAGTCTGATCATCATGTATTACAAACATGGCTTCAGATATCCAACATATTACTTGAGAAGAAAACATTGAAACATAAAAAAAAGGTACCTATGAGATTTACCAGCAGGTGAAGGAACCTGCCACCAATTCTGATGGCCTGAGTTCAGTCTCCAAGACCCACATGGTTCACACACACACACACACACACACACACACACACACACACACACACACACACGCCCACACTCAAATAATATGTAGGCAGAAGTCTCTGTCCTGCAAGTTGCTCCCAAGTAACCACACAGAGGTTTGATATTAATTATAAATGCTCAGCTAATATTTCAGGCTTGTTACTAGCTGGCTCTTACATTTAAATTAACCCATATTTCTTATCTATGCTTTGCCACATGGCTTGGTTCTTTTTCTCAGTATGGCCTGCCCATCTTGCTTCTTTCTGCATCTGCTGTGACTCCTCTAATCCACCCTTCTTCTTCCCAGCATTCTGTTTGGTTCTTTCCACCTAACTTTATCCTGTCCAGCTATTGACCAGTAAGCTTCTTTATTAAACCAATCACTGTGACTTATATTCACATAGCATAAAAAATTCCACATAAATAAATACAGCAAGTCGGGTGGTGGCGGCGCACACCTTTAATCCCAGCATTCAGGAGGCAGAGGCAGGTGGATCTCTGTGAGTTTGAGGCCACAGAGTGAGTACCAGGACGTGCTCCAAAACTACAGAGAAACCCTGTCTCAAAAAACCTAAATAAGTAAATACAGCAAAATAATAAAAAATAAATAAAAAGAATAAAGGATGACATCAGACAACCTCTAAGTTTAGCTTCCTATTTAGACACAAATTGCCCAGCTCTAAAGCCTTTTCTTAATGCAATTGCTCTCTGCTCATTCTTCATATTAAATTTGTGATTGAAGGCTTAAATCATAAATGGTCATACTTGCAGGAGAGATGGCTCAGTGGTTAAGAGCACTGTCTGCTCTTCCAGCAGGCCTGAGTTCAGTTCCCAGCAAACACATCGTGGCTCATAATTTGGCATACTCAGGACTTCATGTAATGAAAACTCTGGCTAGAGAAAAATCTCTGTCCAGCCAAAGCTCTCTCATAGTGGAAGGCACTGGGTGGTTTTAGTTGAATGACACTATCCAATCTAAATAAGTTATCTGTGTCCCACACTCCTTTTCTGTTGATCCTGACTGGTCCTTCTTAACCTGTGGCCTACTATCATTGTCCCATAGGGAGAATCATTGTGTGCATGAATGCATGTTCATGTGTGGTCAGGTACATGTATGTATGAAAGTGTGCATGCACATGAGTGTTCATGCATGTGAAAGCAAAAGGAACTTCTTGATTGTCACCCTCAGGAACACCATCCATCGCCTTTGAGAAAGAACATCTCACTAGCTTAGAGATCACTAGTTCAGGTAGACTAGCTGTCCAGTGAGCCTCAGGGATCCTACTGTCTCCACCTCCCAAGACTAGGGTACAAGTGCATGCTACTTCCCATGATGGCTCTCCTACCTTGAATATGATTTTTGCTACATTCCATTGCTACTTCCAACCCATGAGACCTGCCTTGGATGTTGTGCATAGTGGAAGCCCTTTGTCTTTAAGAGGAATCTATGCTGTCCCTCAGTACAGACTCTGATCCCCTTCACTCCACTCCATCCTTCTAGAGAATAGGGACAGAATTTGACTCTTCACAGAGTCAAATAATTTAAAGACACATTATAAAACTGTAATCCTTCCCCAGCATAGCTATGTTCTGAGGCAATGATTTCTAATTCTGTGCTTAGGGGAGCCTTACTCCATTCATCAACAACAGTCTCAGGGGATACACAGCCCTTACTTCACTGACACAGTGACACCATCTAAGGAAAGATTCAAGCTCTCAGAAAGCTAGAGTAGACAGAGGGAGTGTCAAGGAGAGAGGGGAGAGATGAGAGACCCTCATACCTCTACCGTGAGTATGGCCCCAATGGCCAAAGATGCCTCACTAGGCCACCTGTAGGTCCTACCTACTGCCACATGTGCCTTCCTCAATTTTTCTACATGAGAGACTAATAGGGCATTCAGTATCCAAGCTCTGTATTTTGTCCACAGACTTGCTCCAACCACAGCTTGAGAGAACTTAGTCATAACTCCCCCAGAGAAGGGAAATCACCCCATCAGAGACTATGTGGTCTAAGAACTATGGTCAACTTGTACAGGGACAGAGAAGATCATTGTATCACATGTTAAGGGATTTAGACTTGTTCTAAAAAGTAATGCTATTACAGAGGTTAATGCAGAGCAAATACTGAGTCAATCACACATTTTTAAATGATCACCTTGACAGCAGAATGAAAAATGTGCTAAAGGAATATGTGTAAAGGGAAATTGGGAAGGGCTTAGAGAAACCTCTTCTTTGTGGGATTTGGTGAATTAATGACTAAGCAAGGGAGACAGGGTTGGGGGGGGTCACTAAAGGAAGACTTCTGGGATTTTAACTTGACAAAATGGGGTCTATGGTTTCAGCACTTACCAAGAAGGACAGATTTAGAGGTGGGAATATTGTTTCACTCAGTGGCCATGCTCATTCAGGTTAAAGTACTAGTTGTTAAATATTAATGTCTAGTTTATCTAATATCAACATGTAACACTGAATAATTAGTCAGAAACTTAAGTCTGAGCTCAGAGAGAAATCAAGACTTTGAATGTGGTGTAGGTAATTATCAATCCAAGAGGTTGCTGAGATGGGTGAAGAGAGCACAGGAATGAGAAGATCAGCAGGTTTCTGAGGACAGGCTCTTGAAGAGATGTAATATGCTTAAGGGTTACAAAGAAGGAGGAGAGCCCGTGAACATAAAGGAGAAAGACGGGCAGCGCAGTATCAGAACCAGGGAACAATCCTAACCGAACAGCACCACTGAGACCAGCACCGTCGAGAAGAGCTGCACAAGAATTCAAAGACCCATTACATATAGTGGCAGAATATTTAGGCCCTTGTCTCCCTCGTCCCACCAATATTCAGCTGAGTGCATGGATTGATAGCTGCTGGCTGAGCCACAACATATGAAAGGATAGAGGCAGGTCTACACTTTCAATAAATATGAAAGATTCAGGGCTGTGACCTATGACGGAAGGAGGGGCTTGAGCAATGTGGCAAACTCTCATGTGCTCTGCCCAACAGTCAGTCCCCTCTCCAGGTACCACCCCCATCCATTGTCATACAAGCCCGTTTAAATTGCTGTGAGTACCTGATGGTGGTGGCACCCGCCTTTAATTCCAGCATTCAGGAAGCAAAGGCAGGCGGATCTCTGTGAGTTCTAGACCAGCCT